GATTGTCTGAAAGATAAGAGAGAGAGAGAAGAGAAAGAGAGACAGACAGAGAAAGAGAGAGAAAGAAAGAGAAAAAGAGATAAAGAAAGAGCAAGAATAGAAAGAGAAGAGAAAAAGAGAGAGAAAGAAAGAGAAAAAGAGATAAAGAAAGCAAGAAAAGAAAGAGAAGAGAAAAAGAGAGAGAAAGAGAGAGATACAAACGCTACTTTACAAGCAAGCATACAGCACAAGATTGCACAATGATATTAATTATACAGATAACAAAAAATTTTGGCTTATATGTCTGACATAAACAAGACATCATGAGTGACATTGCAGTCAGTCATCATCATCAGCACCACCCCCAACCACAATCGTCATCATCATCATCATCATCAACTAAAACACAACTATTACCAACATCAAATAAAGGTAATAGGCGAATTACAAAACACTCCACAAACATTCAATAAATCATCATCTGCCTTCATCATATCAACACCTTAATAACATCTTCCTCATCTTCATCAACGTTTCGGATAACAAAACAATATCAATAACGAATAATAATTACAATGATATTTATTATAACTATTTTAAACCATAATTGCTAACATTGAGCAGACCATCCAGTGAGGTGAATTGAAATTTTCTCAACTCTTTATACTTCAGCCCAGTTTCACATTCATATTTCTCTGGTGTCTGTGGGGAAAAAATTAGCAAAGATAATCAATTAATTAAGTATGATACTATATAAATTTTAAATTACTTATCAATGAGAAAATGTAAAAACCTACACATAATTTTCAAATAACAAATTTAATTAATTAATTAACTATTTAATTTAAAAAAAAGTTCATTTTTACAGAAGTTGAAAAAGATGAGAAAAAATATAGACAGGTAATATAATGTAAGAAGCAATAAAACCGGTGTAAAATTTAAGTGCATATGTGAGGAGGATGAGTGTGTATGTGTGTGTATGTGTATGTGTGTGGATGTGCGTGTATGTGTAAGTATAGATGCATTTTTAGACTATATAAATGTATACATATATGAGTTAGTTAGTCACATGTTTGTTATTTTTTTTTTGAAAAAAACGAGATGAATAAACAAAATATATTTTGATTGAAAGATAAGACATTCTTGGGCTGATAACAGCATACCTAGACACGCGCGCACAAACACACACACACACATTCACACACACACACACATTCACACACACACACACACACAAACACACACACACACACACACATACTCAAACATAAACTATTAAAATAGTCAGCAGATAACATAACCATCACAAAAAAAAATGATAAAGTAAAATCTGCATTAATCCAGAACTAAACCAAATACGCAAACACTTAGGCAGTTTCGTAGTCCAGGTGACACTAGTATTGTATATATATATATATACATATATATATATATATATACATACATATATATACATATATATATATATATATATATATATATATATATATGTATATATATATATATATATACATATATATACATATATATATATATATATATATCACTTAATTTATTCACACCATTTGCTAGTTAGTACACTAATACGGCTGCAAAACATGTTAATACATAATCAAATCTTTCAAGTAGTGAGGTGATCTCGAGTTTGAATGCCAAGTGAGCCAAACTTCAGTTATCTCCTGTTGTGATTAATCATCATAGACTAATTTATTAAGCGGCACTTTGTGATTCAATGTTTGAAAGGAAGGTTGAGTTATTTTTTTTTTTGAAAATTCAAACCGGGCAAAATTTTCGAGACGCATACAACAGACAAACGAACGCAAGAACGCACACACAAACACACACACACACACACACACACACCGTTGTTTTATCTAAATATACACATACATAAACAACTCGTATTGTATATATTACATCTTTAGAGTCAGACATACATGCAAGCCCACACACACACATACATTAGACATATTGTTATATAAATAAAATAAATATATATATCGGATAAATGCATATCCATATATAAATAAAAGTTTCACGTACAATGTTTGTTGCGAGTGTGATGATGGCAGGTGAAGTAAAAGAGAGGAGAGTTGAATAACTTAACTTAATAAATCCGTTTTACCTAAGTGACTGAAGAGTGCGCTCGTGTGTGTGCGTGTCATTATCAGCTGGAATGATTGAATTTTTTGCATTTCAAAAGCTCTGTAAAATTCCAGAGCATACTTAGGTTACACACACATATGTAAGAAACAGCTTATATAAATGCACCCACACATATAGACATATATGTGTGTGTGCATATATCCATAGAGAAATACACACACACACGCGCGCGCGCGCACACACACACACACACACGCACATACATGAGTGCTTGCTCCAATTATTCAAACAAAATGATAAAAATATTTTTCAAAACAAACCTTAATCTGCCATTGATAGCCTCCACAAACACCACCGCCGCCACAGCAGCAACCAACGTAACAGCAGCAGCCACTACCACTACAAGAACAACTTTGGACTTTATCAAAGAACTTTGCAGTCTTCGTGGCACTGTCCAATAATCTTTGAGAGGGCGGTCCTTGAGTTTGAACGATGTAATTTAATTGGTCAAATTCCATCGCCCCTGGATACAGTGGCCAACCAAGGAAGAGTTCTGCCAGTACACAGCCCAATGACCACACGTCAATTGGGTAGGAGAATGGAAGGCCCAGTAAAATTTCTGGAGACCTGGAGTTGGTGATTTTGATGAATGATGACGATAGGATGATAATGCTGACGAGTGTGATGAGAATGAACAACTAGATGACAACAAAATTAAGTTGTGTGGATAGTACAGCTTTTGTGGCATATGGTGCAAGTAGGTAGATGATGGAGCAAGTAGGCAGATAATGGAGCAAGTAGACAGATGATGGAGCAAGTAGACAGATGATGGTGCAAGTAGACAGATGATGGTGCAAGTAGACAGATGATGGTGCAAGTAGAAAGATGATGGTGCAAGTAGATAGATTTGAAAGGCAATAGATCAGAAAATACATTTTTTATTTTAGGTACATGCAAGCATGAAACAGATAAAAAAAATAAGCAGCGGCAACAATAGAATAACAACAACAACAATAACAATAATAATAAATAATAGTAACAACGTAAAAACCAGTTTTAGCGAGGTTAAAAGCAACATTAACACCACCACTGACACCCAGCTCAACTAAATGAAGGAAAGATTATTTTAAAAAAGACACATATTTAAAATCAAACAAGCGAAAGAATGATAGATGGTTGTAAGAGAAATTAGATTGAAAGATGAAGAGGGAAATTTAAATAGAATGAGAGAGAAAGAGAGAGAGAGAAAGAGAGAGAAAGAGAGAGAGAGAGAGAGAGAGAGAGAGAGAGAGAGGGATAGTAGAAAAACAAATTTAAAAATTTAAAACCAGCAGTTTCAGACAGAAAAAACACTTGAGCATCAAAAACAAACAACTTTCCATGTTAAGAGAAAAAGGTATGTACTACACAATACTACAACAAAAGAGCTTCTTTAAATTAGTTTAACCCCAGCCCATACAAACACAAAAAACACACGCAAACAACACTAAATATCGCTCACACGGTTCGCATTTGGCACTTCAAATCTCCAACACATCAATATTTTAGCAGATATTGAACTTATATATCAAATTATATCAAGCAATCAACTAACACTCGATATAACACATACATCCATTGGTTAATGTATTTTTATGCAGAGTTACACGTAGCAGTACATGTCAAAGTCCTGTGTTTGTTATTGATCACCCACATTTCTAGGTTCCAGTATAATTAAAAATAAATAGATCTGACTGTGAATGTAGTGCGCACGTGTGTTTGTGCATGTGTATGTGTGAGTTTATTTGTTTGTGTGTGTGTGCGTATGTGTGTGTATATACTAAACAAAATCATGATGATAGTGATGATGATGATGATATACTGAAGAGATAAGAACCAAAACAAATAAAACCAAAAGAAAACAACTAACAAAATGTACAAGTCTTACAAAAATCCTACACGCGCACGCACACACAAACTCACGAGAAAACACACAAACATAACTGAAAGCCATGAAGCAGGCACTTATAATAATAATAATAATAATAATAATAATAATAATAATAATAATAATAATAATAATAATAATGATAATAGCATCAATATTGCAGGTGACATAAAGACCAAAGTAAAGTGAGCTGATAACTGAAATGATAATGAAAGAGTTAACAATAACAATAATAATAATAAAACAGTAATAATAATAATAATAAGTATTGAAAGTATGTCTTATCTTTGTAATTTAACTCTCTTGCTAATATTGTTTCATTTATAATAAATTACATATAATTAACATATAATTAAAATAAATAAAACATAAATCATCAAATTATCATAATAAATTCTCTTAATTAATTCTTAGAGGTGTCAACGCACGAACCACACACAAACACACACACAAACACACACACACACACACAAGTGAAGAATCCACGCATCACACACACACACACACACGCACACGGTATGTGATAGGTGGGGATCCTAACGCATTCGAATCCAGCCACTGCAACAGAAGGACCAAGCACCTTAAACTCTACACAAACTCGCTGCCTCTAAATTGCAAAACAAAACTGTAAAATGTTGCAGATAATTCTAGAAAATTTGTACTTTCAAATCGAATTTTCCTACAAAAAATGCCAAACTAAACAATGTCATCACCCTAGACCATAAGTTACAAATTTAAATGCTAATCTTAGAAAAAATAAAATAAAAATAAATGAAAAAAATATAAAAAATTTGAGGATTAAATTTAGAAACAAATTAATTGCAGCAAAGAAGCATCTTTAATGAATAGAGATAGGCCAAAGAAACATGCACGTACAAGTACCTAAATACATCCTTACATACATACATACATACAACACATACATAAATACAACACATACATACATAGTACATACATATATACATACATACAATGAATACATGCATACATTCAATCATATATTTATATACGCACATGTATATTCATGCATGCTACGTGTTTACACACACGTATGATCAAGTATAGTTCAATGCCTTCTTCAACGTTATAACCATGATGCCACTATTATTTACACTGTTACAATCTATTCATATGAGTGAGTGGGTGAATGAATGAATGAACGAATGAAAGAACGAACGAACGAATGAATGAATGAATGAATGAAGAAAGAACAAACATGCACATTAAATAGTGCAGCTAATGCGTTAGAGTACTTTTGAAAAAAAATTTTTTTTTTAATTTTACACAAGCAATAGTAATTTCAATCAGCAACATATGACCATTTGTCTGTTTTAACTAGCAATAACACTGAACAAAATTAAGACACACACACACACACACATAAACAAACACACACGCGCGCGTGCACATACCCATTAATACTCAAAAATAGACCCCTTTAACAAAAATATATACTTACACACATAGCAACTGCACATGAAAGGCAGCCACACAATACAGAAACAAGCCAAAAGTCAGATACATACATACATCCATGACTAAAACATAGACACACACACACACACACACACACACACACACACACACACACACACACACACACACACACACACACAAATATACAAAGATAGACACACACACAAACAACACGCACACACACACACACACACACACACAGAAACACAAGACACAAACCTGTAGTAGCGAGATTGAAGATAAGTAGAGCAGAGAGTCTGAGAGTTGTAGCAGGCTGACCCAAAATCAATAACCTTGATCCTACATGGGAAGTTGACTGGATCGATTAACATGATATTCTCCGGTTTCAAGTCTGCGTGGATCAAACCCATGGAGTTCAATTTCAGAAGGGCTGTTAAGATCTGAATGTTGGCAGGTTGGTTGTAGGAGTGGTTACTCAACAATTTTTTAATTAATTAATTAGTATTAAATAAATTAATCAGTTTTTTAAAGTTAATTATTTGAATTTAGGCAAAGTAAGTTAGCATTGATATCATCAGCAAGATCTTATAATTAATATTCCACATTCACTAACGAAACATATAATTAATCTATTGCAGTTTCAACAAACAAAAAACCAAAGAACCACCATTCCATAACAACACAAACACACAACAACCTGATAACCAATGATCCTAATCTCATCAGTTGGGAGAGCCCTGAAATTCTGCATCTTCATGAACTCGTACAGGTTGACACTAAGCTGTTCGAAAACGACGCAGACGTGATTATTATGTCGAAAGAACTCGAAAGTCCGAACGATGTTGTACTTTTCGTCGAACGCTTTTTCGGCTGCCAGCTGTCTGAGAATGGCGATTTCTGACTGGGCCTGCCTCTCAAAAGAAGGGTTTTCCTGACGTTTGATTATCTTCATGGCGACATGTTTAGGGTTTCGGATGAGATGAACTGGAGTGGAGGGGTCTACCCCATGATCAAGTTTTATGCAACGCAACACCTGAGTTGAAAGAAAAACAAATTACATAAATTAAATTGGATTTAAATGACTTTCTTAAAAGATTCTAGTTACGTTTAATAATGTTTACATGCATTTCTATCAATGTAAAGTTTGATAGGATAGAATGAGTTGGCGAAGATAAACTGAAGGAGCAACTGAGAACAACAAAGATGATGCCCATGTAGACAATTAATAAAGTCAAGGCAAGATGAAATGAGAACAAAACACAAATATGAAGTGCAAACACATCTGACATAATAACAGTAAGGATTAATGGAGATATACAGCTACAGTGTTGGCATTGGAAGAGAACATGAATTTGATATGAATAAAAACAATCTATTTGATGACCCATGATATGATGACATGATGACGTCATGATTCTTTGATGACATGAAGCAGTGATGGTACAGATGATATCATGTAAAAAAAAACCATAAAAAATGTTAAAAATAAATGCAGTCACCCTTCCAAAAGTGCCCTTGCCACCAAGAGAGAGAACTTTATAGGAAGACGTAGGTGAGTAAATGATTTCGGGTTCATTGAAATACTTCCTCCAGTGTATTGGATCGCCGAATGAATCAGTAAAGACGCATTGATTGACATCAACAGCCGGTAGACTGAGAAAATTTGTGGGGTTGAAAATAGATTGCTGTATCAATCGAAGTGTTAGGTCATAGTTATTTTCATAAACAGAGGTGTCAATGTAATTTGTTGCTGTTGTGGGAAAAAATTGGCAGTTGTTATTGTTGTTGTTGTTGTTCTGGTTGTATATGCTTAAAGCATAGCAGTCATTGTTGTTGTTGTTGGTCGTGTTATCGTTGTTGTACAGTTGACTTCCATTATAAATAATGTTATTCGTGTTGTTGTTGCTAATGCTGTAAAACTGATAAGAATCAGAACAGGTTTGATCAGTTAATGGATTAGAAACTTCAAACTGGGAGCTGCTATTACTACTACTACAGTTAATTGTTGCAGCAGTAGTAGTAGTTGTAGTAGATGTTGTAGCTGATTCACTGTTGTTGTTGTTGTCAATGTTGATGCTGTTTACCATAGTCCAGACATCAGGATTATCATTTGAGCATTTTGTGGCAGTCATGCCAACATTATTCTAGATTATTTGTTCTGAAAACAATTTTTTTTATAAAATAATAAATCTAGAAATAAAAAAATAAATTTTATAAAAATTAAAATTAGTATTTATTTAGATAAGCTAGGTTCAACAGATTTTTTATTTATAGTTACTTTGATTTTAAATTCTTAAAAATTCTCAGGAGATTTTATATTTATAGTTACTTTGATTTTAAATTCTCAAAACAAATTTATTCATTTAATATTTAGTTATTTTGTAATTTATTCATTTGTCTGTTTAATTTTCTATTTTTATTTGGTTGGTTCTATTTTTCTGATTCATTATATTCCAAATATTCTCACTGATTCATTATCACTGAGGTAAGCACACAATTTAATAATTAAATATTCATTTGAAACTGCTAAATTTTCTTGGCTTAATTTAGAGAATTAAGTAAGAACATTGACATTGATGATTGAATCATAATCATATACAATCAATCAAATTACTAAATTATATAATAAAAAAAGTTATAATAATATAACTTTTATACTATATAATATTATTATATTATATTAAAATTATGAATTTAATCTTATTTTATTTTAAAAATAAATTATTTAACTAATTTAAAATTACAAAGCTACTCAGTCATTACTAACTAACTTGCAACTGAAATCAGCAGATCTGATGTAATGTGTAAATCATAATGTTAGAAGTTAGGTTAGACTAAGAAAGTAATACTAATAAGAAGCATAACGTAACAAAGTCGTAATAATTTGATATGGAATTACTCATCGAACAGGTGAAACCACTAACTGAAACTTACTATACTATGCTGCGGAGCCAAAATTAAACATTAAAAAAAGCAGCAAATCAATGCTTTTCTTATTATTCTTATTCGAAATTCATTAAAAAATTTAAAACCGGCTAATTTAAAACGAGATAAATGAATTTAAAATGAATTCTAAAATTTTCTACCCACGAAATGAAAATCGACTAATCCGCGTGGCGTCGTGCCGTTCCTAACTTTCACCTAACTTGACAACAACTGCGTTTTATAATAAAGAATGTTACGTTAGCAACGTTAGGGGAAAAAAATCAGACGAAAATGGCAACCAATTAGATGCATAGGAGTTGTATTATATATAAAAACATATTATATACATGAATATATATAAATATATTAAAAATTTATATTTATTAAATTTTTATATATGTGTGTGTGTATGTGTGTGTGTGTGTGTGTATGCATATATACAATACAATCATCTATATATGTTGAAAGGAGACTTTATTGTATGCAATATTGTATGAATTCCACCAAATTGTTGACATTAACCAATTTAAAGTTAGTTTTTTTTTATTTTTTTTTTTAGAATTTTCAGAAATTTTTTAAGGCAATGTATATACGTATGCGATACGTGTATGTTTGCCTTTATGAACTCTATCTACAGCCAATTCGAGCAAACGTTAAAAGGTAAAGCTTGCGTCACCTACCTATTAAATTATATATACAGCTCTATACAAAACAGGATTTATGTTGTATTCTCGATATAAGATCGAGATGCAAGGAAATGAACCGCAATGAAATACGCCGACCGACAAAGCCTCTAGCTAGCTTGGTGTAATTTTGAAATGTAACGGTCGTAAGAGCAACTATTATAAAATTGTATGTTAGTGACGATGAAACATTCATTTTTTTCATTCTCCCATTCTCTCATTCGATTATTTATTTATTTACATATTCATTCGTTCATTCTTTGGTCGTTTATTCATTTTAAAAAATAGTCATGTATTCATTGGTAAGTACATAAAAGTGTTACTTATCACCGGGATATACCTGCAGCAAAACGATGATAGGTTTAGTGTATGATGTCACTGTGGCTCTTGCTTCCAGTAAAGTTAATGGTGGAGAAGCATGGGTATATCCATGTGTAGAAGCAAGATAATCTGGTTTTATAAATATATGCGATTTTAAGGTGAAATCATGAAAATCACATACATAGGCTACTGATTTGAAATAAAATTTTGATTCTAAGTGTAGTTCAATGGCTACAATACAATCAGATCATGTTTGATTTTTACTGCAAACTTATCGTTTAGTCATATTTTGCCATTTTGGTGATAGTAAATCTTGTTAATTATAACAAATAAATCATTAATAGTTTATCGATAAAAGGCAAAATCAACTTTAGAAGAGTATTCTATTCATCGAAGTCTAATTTAAATCTGCTCAAAAAAAAGGCTCACTAACTTAAGTGGGCGGTGCAAAATGAATCATACACGTCTTTTCTATTAATCGGTTCACTTTTAATCTACTAAATAATTACAGATCGTACTTCTTCGTCCGTCATTTTATAAAAAATACTTCTATATTCGCTGTTTATTGTTGATTTTAGAAGATAATTTCTTAGTGTTTTCAAAATAATGACGACTTCAAATCCAAGTAAAAGTGATATAACGGCCGTTTTCAAACGACTAAAAAGTATTCCTTCCAACAAGGTATCCTTATGGCTTATGTTAGCCCACAAGCCTGGATCAAACTTTTTTGTGTCCTGTTTTGGTGTTTTTTCGTGTTTTTGTTCGTTTTTCAATGACCGGCGATCTAGATCGTGGTTTTTAGTACCGTTTTTTTATTTAATTCTCTATAAAATTTATTAATTAATAACCTAATTGTGATACATAACTTTTTTAATTAAATTTTTGACAGCACCCATTTAAATTTTAAAATATAAAAATCTTTTGACCTCTTTCAAAATTTAGCAATGTTTTGACTGTGGGGCTATGAACCCAACGTGGGCCAGTGTCACCTATGGAGTGTTCCTGTGCATTGACTGCTCTGCTGTCCATCGTTCCCTGGGGGTCCACATCACTTTCATCAGATCCATACAGCTGGACACTAACTGGACATGGCTGCAGTTGAGGGCCATGCAGATTGGAGGAAATGCCAGCGCTGTACTTACAACTATTTTTTTATGAAAACACAATAAACTAAATTTCAAGAGAATTGTATTTTATTGTTATTATATAGCATTGTCAAATATATTTCTACTTCAATAGCCTTTTCTTCATTTCACAGAGGGCCTTCTTTGAACAGCACAACTGCACGACGAATGACTCGCAGTTAAAGTACAAAAGTCGAGCAGCTCAATTATACAGAGAGAAACTTCATCTTAGTGCAATGAAAGCTCTCAAACAACACACAAGGGTTCTTCTTTTTATTTAATTTTTTCATTTTCTTCAATTTTCTCCATTTTTAAATTTAAAACTGCTTTCAAAATGATCTAAGAAGAATATTTTTGGCCCTCCGAGACCTAAGTGATATATATGTACTGTAATTATAAAAATGACAATGTCAGAGAGTAGGCTGACCAATTTATATGGTATTTATAATGTATTATTTTAGCAATCTCATTTTCAATTATCTTAAGTGTCCATTCATTGAGTTACATCTGTTAACAATAAACTCACTGAAAAATCTTGGACATTAAAATTATTTTATCACCAGCTGCTTAGTGATTTGTTATCATCATTAAAACTTCATCAATATCATCATTAAAATTGATGTATGTCATTGATTACTTGATTAATTGATTGAATAAATGAATGAATGATTGATTGGTTGATTGATTGATTGATTGATTGATGATTTATTGATGATTTATTGATGATTTATTGATGATTGATTGATTGATGATTTATTGATGATTTATTCAAGTCACAATGATCAACATCACCATTTCTCAGTTACATCTGGATAGTGTACATGGAGAACCACACACTGACGATGACCAGTTAGCAGGCAACCACCACCAGCAACAACATCAGGAGTTTTTCACTGAGCATGAAAACTTTTACAGCAAGGAAACCTCATTATTCAATGTTTCACAGCCTATTAGTTAGTTGTTTAGATAAATTAATTAATTAATTAATTAATTAATTGAATGGTTGATCATTTGAGTAAATGGTCAATTAATTGATTGTTTGAATGTTGGATTGATTGATAAATTGATTGAATGGTTGATTGATTTATTGAATGATTGATTTATTGATTGGTTGGTTGATTGTTTAGTTGATTTTTATGAATGCAAGTTTTTTTCAAAATTTCAAAATCCACATCTCTTATTTTTGGCTATCATAAATTTTTCTCTTTAATTGAATTTATTTATCTCGTTTTTGCCAGATACAAATGTTTCACAAGACAGTGGAAAGATGATTAATTCTGACATCAATAAAGGTGACATAAGAGTTTAATCAATCATTGAACCATCAACCAATCATCACCCAAATCATATCATTTTATCTGCCAATCAGAAATGTTTGTTCTTTTCAATCATCTATCCACCGACCAATTGAAAAGCAGCATTCAAATTTACAATTTTCTCATTAACCAATTAGAGAGCAGCATCCAAAAAAAAAATCAATCATCAATTTATCAGCCCCAATCAGAAAGCAGCATTCGTATTAATCATTGATTCATTGACCAATCAGAAAACACCTCAGCTGAAGGCCCAAATATAGAGGCTGCACTGAGCATGTCTCCAAAATCGGCTGAGAAGTTATTGGCCGGACACAAGCCGACGATCGGTGGAAGAATAGCCCCCAGTAAAAAAGGGGTGAGTTTGTTGATTGGTTGGTTGAATGGTTAGTTAATTGGCCAGTTGATTGACTGATAATCTAATTAATTATTTATTTTATTACATGAATGAATGGTTAGTCTATTGACCTTTCATATATCTATATCTTCAATTTGATTAATTAATTAGTGTTTTTGATAACATTTTCTAAGGCGGGAGGTGCCAAGAAAGGGGGTTTGGGTGCTCAGAAAGTGACAACTAATTTTGCAGAAATCGAGTCAGCGGCCTTGCAGAAGGAAAAGGAAGTCCCAAGTGCAATCAAAGATCATAAATCCAAACCTGATAACGACAAAGATAATTAGTTAGTTATATATATATATATATAATATTTATATGTTATTTGTTGCTTTTTACTGAGTTTAATAGATATTTACTGATAAGAGTCATATTGAATTTTAAATCTCACATTAAACACCATCACTAGATTAACTACTACCACAATAACAACAACAACTACTCCCAGCAACGACATCACATTCACGGCAACTTCACGACGACATCAACATTTTCCACACACAAACACACACACATACACGTACACACACACGCGCGCACACACACAGCATCTCCATGAACCTGGCCTACAAAGAATTGGCAATTGATGAGAACAAGCGAGCTCAACAGTTCAAAAATTTTGATCCCAAAAAATTGGAACAGGCGGAGAGGCTTGGCATGGGTTCTGGGGGTACAAGGTTCATTTATTTACTTATTTACTCATCCATCCATCCATTCATTCATTCATTCATTTATTCATTCATTCATTCACTCATTCTTTCGTTCATTATATTTTTTATTTTTACAAATATGACTGAATGAACAAGTAAAGGAATGAATGAATGAATTAATTAATTAGTTATTGAGTGGATGAAAGAATAAATGAATTAACAAAGTGAATGAATAAACAAAGTAGTGAATGAATGAACACACGAGTGAACGAATAAATGATGGAAAGAATGATTGAATGAATGAGTGAATTACCTAATTTTACACAGATTAGTGAGTCACTCAGCCACCTCAGATATGCAGTGCATAAATCAGGAGAACCCGACCAATGGCTCGGCCCACTACAAAATGGATCGATACTCGTCTAGGGGCTCCAAAAATAACAATGACGACGACTTTGAAGTCATCAACGATGTCAGATCTTTCCAAATGAAGTTGGTCTCTTTGCTACTGTTGTTGTTGTCGTCGTAGATGATGTCGTAGATGAAGTCGTTGTTGTTGTTCATTTAGTTTTTTGTTGATGTGATTATTTGTTTTTAGGTTAGTTCGAATTGTCACCGCCCATATCTACGTAGCCATGATTATCATTTTCGTTACCATCTTCATTTAATCATCACAGACTTGTCGTCATCAAAAAAATTGTCATCTCCAACATCGTGTTCAGCGTCGTCGTCATCATCATCTCATCATCGTCACACAATCATCATCATCATCATCACACAATAATCATCATCACACAGTCATCATCATCATCACACAATCACCAAATTATCACCATAATTATAATCACAATCACCACACAGGTCCAACTACTTTGACGCCAAGCACTCGTCAGATGACAGGGACTTCAACGATAAGTCTAATTGGACGAAAAAATCCTCTCGAAGCATGCAGGAAAATGATTTCGGAGGTGCTGGTTTTGGAGGCTATGGCGGCAGTAGCAGCAGTGGTAGTGGTGGTGTGGTCGCTAAAGATGATGATGATAGGTGGGTCGTGATATGGCTAATGTGATTTTCATTTTTAGTGTTTTTTATTCTTTGCTCTGACAAAACATGAGTTAGTTTGTTTTTTTTGTCCTGTGTTAAGGTTAACAATTATAATTTTTTTCATCTATCCAGAGGTCGCAGTCGAAAGGCTTACCCGGTGCCGAGTGTTGAAACGTCGTCAGAAGCACAGCAGAAATTCGGCAACGCCAAAGCCATCTCTTCTGATCAGTTTTTTGGAGGAACTAGAGATATAGATGTGTGTTTACTTGTTTGTGTGTGTGTTTGTGTGTGTTTGTGTTTGTTTGTGTGTGTGTGTGTTTGTGTGTGTGTGTGTTTGTGGGTGTGTTTGTTCGTATGTGTGTTTGTATGTGTGTGTTTGTGGGTGTTGGTATATGTGTGTGAAGTCAAGTTTTTTTTTTATGATTCTTGTTTGTTGAAGTAATTGTTGGAGTGAAATACTTTCCCAACTGCCATTATTAGTACGAAGCGAAACAGAATCTGAGGAAATTTGAAGGTAGTAACGCCATCTCGAGTTCCGAATTATTTGGTGGGGCTCCTGATAACTCAAGGTCAAAGTCAATTGCATAAATTATGATAATCAGTGCTGGGTTATTTTTAAAAATTTCGCTTAATTTGTGCGCTATTTTATCTGCTTCTTGTAACTTTTTGTTATTCATTGCATGCAGCAAACTTAAAATGCAATTATTCATTCAATGTTTCTTGTTTAACATACGAAAATATTGATTCAAATTTAAATGTAGTACAATTTTATATATTTATTACTATAATTAATTGAATTAATTAATAAGTAAGTAAATAAATTATAAGTAAATAAATTAACAAATGAATACATTTATATTTAGGTATACTGGTACAGACTTATCAGACATAAAGGAAGGTATGAGACAAGGTATCATTCATTCGTTCATTCATTTGTTCATTCATTCTTTCATCCAATCATTCATGTTCAGTCGTTCATTCTGGTTTATTCATTTATTTATTCATTTGTTAATTCATTCTTTCATTCATTCATCCAAGTTCCGTTATTCGTTCGTTCATTTGTTCAGTCATTCATTTGTTAGTTAGTTGATTCCTTCATTTGCATTCATCTGCATATGTTTCTTTTCATGTCTAATTAATTGATGGATGGATTGATGAATTAATTGAATGAATGATTGGTTGATTGATTGATTGATTGATTGATTGATTGATTTATTGATTGGTTGGTTGATTCATTCATTCATTTATTCATTCATTCATTCATTGAAGGCATAAGCAAAGTTGCTGGTAAACTGTCCAACCTAGCTAGTGACGTCATGGGATCAATGCAGGTGTCATATTTTTTTTTTCCATTTTTATTACAGTTGTTATTTCTCTGCTTTGAATATGTTTTAGAAATTTTCATTTTCTCTCTTTTTCTTCTCTCTCTCTTTCTCTCTCTCTCTCTCTCTCTCTCTCTCTCTCTCTCTCTCTCTCTCTCTCTCTCTCTCTTTCTTTACTTTTTTCAGGTTCTTTTTTCATTGTTTTCTTAGTTTCTCCATCGAATTATGAAACAACATTTTTTTCATTATAAATTTCTAACAATATCAGAATGAGTTTTGCCCTTAATATTTGTAATAATTAAAAATTATAGTTGAATATAATTTAATGATAATAATAATTAATTTATGATAATAATAATGAAAATATATTTATTGATGATTTATTAAGTTTTCTTTTTTTTCAGAGAAAATGAAACAGATAGAAAGATTGGTAGACAGGCAGATTGATAGAGAGGCAGGTTGATAGAATGATAAATGGATGGATGGATGGATGGATGGATGGATGGATGGATGGATGGATGGATGGATGGATGGATGGATGGATGGATGGATGGATGGATGGATGGATGGATGGATGGATGGATGGATGGATGGATGGATGGATGGATGGATGGATGGATGGATGGATGGATGGATGGATGGATGGATGGATGGATGGATGGATGGATGGATGGATGGATGGATGGATGGATGGATAGATAGATAGATAGATAGATAGATAGATGGATAGATAGATGGATAGATAGATGGATAGATAGATAGATGGTCAATCGTCATACATTACATTACACATGGTTTTGATTATTTCTTCTTGGTTTAACTATATACAGACTATCAGATTGCTATGATTAAGAAATATATATATAATATATATATATTATTTTATTATACATGTTATTTCTTTTTATTTTGTTTTGAATTTATGAGTAATTATAAAAATTATTATTTTTATTATTATTTATTGTTATTGTTTTTTATTATCATCGAATGATTTACGAATTATTTAATTTTTTTATTGTTATTATTGTTATTTTTATTGTTCGTTTTGCTAATATTATTATTATTTTGTTTCATATTGTTAATATTATTGTTATTATTATTGTTATTCCCAGCATTATAAGTCCGTTCTTGTTGTGCAGTATGTATGTTTTTGTGTGTGTGTGTGTGTGTGCCTGAGTGTGTGTGTTTGTATGTTTATGTGCTTGTGTGTCATATGGAATTTTTAGAAAGTTTAAATGAGCTACTTTGTTTTGTGTGAATTTGGATGAATTAATTCATGGACTTTGGATGTTTATCAATGATTATGGTTTTTTATGGTCATTATGATTGTATAGCTAGAGAGATCTATATCTTGTTAAATGTAATTGCAAAGCGTAACATTAGAAATCCGTTTGTTCATTTGTTTATTTTATTCATTCATTCATTCATTCATTCATTCATTCATTCATTCATTCATTACTCGATTGAATAATTAATTATTTTACGAATTTATTGATTGATTAATTGATTAATTAAATTATTTTTCATCTAAGGTTCTTTCTACTAAAATTTTATCAACTAAAAACAATAATCGGTCTCTTATAGTTTTGTTAAACTGAATGAATAAAACTAGGACGTTTGTTTGAAGCTTCCTGTATCTAACTCATATATCTTCATAAATACGTCTCTGAAGTTCTTGAATTTGGATAGATAGACAGATAGATATATGATGGATATGAATATAGGATATGGATATGATAGGAATAGATAGATAGATAAATTTATAGAAAGATAGATAGATAGATAGATAGATAGATAGATAGATAGATAGATAGATAGATAGATAGATAGATAGATAGATAGATAGATAGATATGGTTTTATTCAAAATAGATATGGTCATATAAGAAAAATTGTTTAATAGATAGAGAGATAGCTTTATATATAGATTTATAGATAGATAGATAAATAAATTGATAGATAGATAGTGAGCGAGTGACTGATGCTTTACCTTAGAAAGTTAATCAAAAATTTAGTTTTTCATGGTTTTGTTAACTATTACTCTCTTCCTGTAGATGTTATAATAGTAATTTTACTCTAGTTCTTTTTACATTATGTTAACGTGAGTAACGCTATTATTGTTATTATTCTTGTTCTCGATGTCATCAATGCTATTGTCCCGACACCATAATTTTTTTATTATATAATTTTAATTTTTAAAAAATTATGCTATGCCATTAAACAATTGATAAAATTGTAGCTAATTTTAAATTCGTCTAGAGCTTATATTCAGTAAAGACAATCAGTTTATTGGCTATTGCTCATACTCATATATATATATATATATATATATATATATATATATATATATATATATATATATATATAGAGAGAGAGAGAGAGAGAGAGAGGAAAGAGATTATCATACACGATATATCAGATTGATATATTATTCATTCATTCATTCATTCAATGATCCTCTGTAATCCCTTAAAAGACCGTTGAGGCCGATGGTATTCTATCTCTCCAAAATCCTTTTCTTTCCCTCGCCATCTTCATTGAGCCCAATGTTCCAACCCCCGTCCGTTCCGGGATATCATCCATCCACTTCCTCACAGGTCTTCCCACTTTTTTCTTCCAGTCCCTCTTTCTCATCAGTACTTTTTTGATCAGTCTGTCGTCTGTCATTCTGCAGATGTGCCCAAAGATACCCAGCTTTCTTTCCTTGACACTTTCATACACAGTTTTTTGTTTTCCAAGTTGTTTTCTTATGGCATCGTTTCTTATCTTTTGTCTCCAACTGATTCCCAGCAACTTTCTATAACAATGCATCTCGAATGCTTCCAGTTTGTCCATGTCCATTTTTTTGTATTTTGTGTTTTTGTATTTGTTATATATATTTTTTGGTCCTTTGCAAATTCCAGCAGTTTTTCTCTATTATTTCTGTTTCCTATACCGTATTTTCCCATGGCTTCTTCAAAACCAATATTGTCTCTTCCGATCTTTGCGTTCCAATCTCCGGTGATTATCTTAACATCTTTCTTTGGCAGTACATTCAATGTTTGCTCCAGTTGATCGTAGAATGCCTCGATTTCTGCAACCGAGTGATCCATTGTTGGAGCATAGACCACTACCACATCAATGTCTTTCGGGTATCTCTTAAACCTCGCATACATCATTCTTTCATTCACTGGATTGTACTCCAACAGTGCTTTTTTTGCTTTTTCGCCAATAACCATTCCAACTCCATAGACGTGCTCCCTCTCTGTTCCAGACCATAATATCTTCCCACTTTCCATTTCTCCACCTCCTGTCCATCGGACCTCACACAGACCAACCACATCATATCTGAATCGTTCAAGTTCTTTCTTCATCATCGCGTAAGCCCCTGTCTGCCACAATGACCTGACATTCCAAACTCCAACTGTCAACCCCATCTTCAGTCTATCTTTCTGGTATTCAGTAGCATATTTTACACTGCAGCCTCTAGTCCCCAAAGCTGCAGCGCGGACCTTGTTCACCCGGGCGACGTCCGAGACGGTATGTGCATACTTTTTTTGGACTACCATCGTGTTATTAGCGTTTTTACGACAGTGTAGCAAGCTCCTGTCAACCATTCCTTTCTATCCGGACTTTGGACCGGCACCTGATATTACTGGACCGCAACTCAGGTGGTGGAGTGTGGTTTTCTGTCTGGATTTGCTCCCATGGTCTTTCCCATGAACAGGTATGCCGCAAGGCAGCGGAGGTTTGAAGTCAGAGTTTTCCTTCTCCTAGGTAAATAGCCGACCAAGGCTAACGAGCTTCACCTGCCCGAAGCAACTGGTTATGGCGCCAGTTATTCGCCTTCGCCCCTTCTCCTGTTAGTTTAAACAGTTCTGCCGCGTGAAGGCCAGAAGTTGGGCTTGGTTGTCAGAGGCTCTTTGAGACGCTTGCCATATGGGAGCATTTTATAGATGATGGGAGCTTATCCCCATCACCACCCCCGGCATTAACTACCATTCAGAACCTGATATATTATATACAGATTATATCACGTCTAGAGCTTATATTCAGTAAAGACAATCAGTTTATTGGTTATTGCTCATACTCTCAAATATATATATATATATATATATATATATAGAGAGAGAGAGAGAGAGAGATTATCATACTACACATGGCTTAGAGACTGATGTTTATTTAGTACATGTCCAAAGCTATAATTTTTTGATTTGTTCATTCATTATTTTCTGTTATTACAGGAATTTATTGATTAGATCTTCATTTCATTGTGATTGAAGCAACGTCTTAAAATGAAAAATCATACTTTTGTGTGGATATATTGTTTAGGGATCTATTAAATTTAGAATCATCAACGTATCATCGGATATCATATGAAGGAGATATCATCCAATGATGTCTTTCAACGTGGGTAGTCCTTGTGGATACAAACTTGAGGAGATACGATATCAAACTACCATAAGCTGAAGAGTGCGTTAATTACAAGAGGTGTAAATACTATTACACATTCAAATGCTCAATATGCGAAATTTTATGAACATATACACACATTTTTGAATACGTACAATTTCACACACACACAAGCACAAACATATATGAATACTAATAACGCTTTAATACAATATATATTATCTAATATAAATATTGTATTGTTTGTAATAACTCATTCGATTTTCATTCAAAATAAACCAGTAAGTTCTCCAATGGAGTGTGAACACCAGCTGTTAAAAATAACCATTCCTACTTTCATCTAAATTAACTTTTAGATTTTAAAATAAAATGTCCAACTTAAATTACGGTATCGATCTTGCAAGTGGGATATCAAAGCGAGTGCTATTCGCTTCAAAATACGATCTGCCTAACTATGAAAAAGACACGAAGGTGGACATTTTTTTTGACTAATTTTATTCTCATTTTAAAATGTAGTTGTTAAATTTTTTGACCAACTGATTGACTCCAAAATTCTAACTTCTAACATTACATATTCAATCATTTCATTTTCATATATTTATATATTTTTAATATATTTTTATTTTATTTATTTATTTATTATAGAGAATATAAATTTTACTAGAAGTAGATAATGTAACTTTGCACTCTAACTAAGGATACTTGAACTCTTAAGTTCTATTTAACTTAGATTAGACTTTTAGAGGCTAAACTTACACTAACTTAATAGAAATTATTAATTCCTCCTCCCAAAAGATATATTTCCGCTACCAGACAAGACTCTGCGACAATGACCACACCGTCTTGGATGACAACCGAAAAGATAAAAAACCTCTGGAACTTATCATAGGCAAACAATTCAAGTTGGAGGTCTGGGAGACTTGTCTGAAGTCTATGAGACCCAACGAAGTTGCCTCATTCATTGTCCATGCCTCAGTCAGTAATTATTATTATTATTATTATTATTATTGTTATTATATACCCTTTTTAGTAGTTCTTGGAACATAATTCCCGTAACATTAGTAAAACCAGTTCACAACATACCAAACAGAAATTATTTATCAAGGAATACCACAAAAAACTAATTAATGATGAATAATTAATTAATAATTTAAATAATAACATCATAATACACAATTAATTAGTTATACCCAAATTCACAATTAATCATACCAAAATCAAACAGCTGGTGTCCAATTATCCTATGGTGGCCAAAAGTTTGCGAGAAATTAGGTGTGGGTCGTGCAGCACTGGGCACCACTGCTGTGGGATGACGATTAGGGAGTTGGGATTGGGACATCCAGATTTGGATAATCTACTCCATAACCCTCAACCTCTGGAGTTTATTTTTGGTTGGCTGCTGTTTTTATTTTTAATTTACATTTCGTTTCATTTTATTCCATTTTTTGTTTAATTTTTAACTGATGCTTATATTTTATTTTAAATTTTGTTTTATTTGGTTGCATTTCGTTCATGTTTTTAGTTTATTTTTTAATTTTTTCAAATTTTTGTATCAAAGATATTTTCTCATGCTCAAATGCTTTTGTTACTGGTTATTGTACATATTTGTCTGGTAATGCTATAATGATTTCCCATTTTCGTTGAATTCAAATGTGATTTAAAATGATTTATAAATGAATTTATTTATATTTCCAAAAATAAATCAAAAATTATAACAAAACCAAAAAAAAAAACCAAACGAAAGAAGTGACATCCGTCGAAGATGTGGGGAAATATAAGAAAGACCTGTGGGCTCTTAGCGATGATGAAAAACTTAACATCATACCAATGCTGAAAGAGGAAGGTACATGGTGAAGGATCATGATGGCGATTATGGTGATGATGATGGTGATGATGAAAAGAGTGATGATTGTGATGGTGATAATGGTGATGGTGATAGCGATGATGATGATAGTTTCAATGATAACAACATTACAGGCAACAAATTGTTTGTCGATAAAAAGTACGAAGAAGCTTCCGAGAAGTATGGACAGGCTATCGGGCTTCTGGATCAACTGGCCCTCAAGTAATGATGATTGTAATGCTGGTTTTGATGATGATGATGATGGTGATAATAATAGTAGTGATTATGATGATGATGACGGTGATAGTAGTGATTTTGATGATGATGATAGTGATAGTAGTGATTATGATGATGATGATGGTGATAATAGTGATTATGATGATGGTGATGATGATAATAGTGATTATGATGATGGTGATGATGATAGTTGTGATTATGATGATGGTGATGGTGATAGTTGTGATTATGAATGATGATGATGATGATGATGACGATGATGATAGTGTGGTTCTTTGATGATGGAATGTTTTTTTTTATATACAATAAATGTGATTTAACAGAGAGAAACCTGGAGATGAAGAATACCTGGAGTTTGAAATGAAAAAGGTTTTGACTGATTGATTGGTTGTTATAATAGTGATGACGAAGACGATGATTATGATTGTAATGATGATAGTGATCATGATGATGATGATGATGATCATGATGATGATGATGACGACGATGATGATTATGATGATGATATTAATTTCAGATTCCCTTCCTCCTCAACTACTCACAGTGCAAGCTGTACCTCGATGACTTCTACTCTGTCATCAAACATGCCTCCGAGGTCCTAGAAAAAGACCCCGGTACTATAATTATAACTATAATTTGTTATAATTATTATAATTATTTGTATCGTCGAATTATGAAAAATAATAATTATGTCAGTAATAATAAACACTAAAACCGAATTATATTCATGCTTAAAGTTCACTGAAACATTTTGTCATCATTTTTTTCCGATGAAATTCTTTTTGCAGATAATGTAAAGGCCCTGTTCAGACGAGGCAAAGGTCACGTAGGGGCCTGGAACCCCGAGGAGGCTCGAAAAGATTTACAGAGGGCCGCAGAACTTGACCCCAGCCTGTTGAAGGCCGTCACGAAGGAGTTGAATCATCTGGCCGAGATGGAAAAAGAGAAAAAGATCAATGATCAGATGCTACTGAAGGGAAAGTTGTTTGCTTAGTTGGTTGAGTTGGTTGGTTGAGTTGGTTGGTTGGTTGGTTGGTTGAGTTGAGTTGAGTTGGATGGTTGGTTGAGTGAGCTGGTTGGTTAGTTGGTAGTTTGGTTGATAGATTGGTTGGTTGCCTGGTGACTGATTTGTTAATTGATTTATTGACTGAATGATTGATAGATTGGTTGGTTGGTTGGTTAGTTGGTCGGCTGGTTGGTTGGTTGGTTGAGGCGAGTTTTCTTCAACAGCAGTCAATAATTTTGTTTTAAAATATGTTACTCATCTCATTTTTAAGTTTCTGCCATTTCGATGTTGTGGTTAATCAATCATTTAATATTTATTCATATTATTCATTTGTTTAATGATATTGTTGTTTGACTTTATGTAATTATATTCATTAAGCTTCAAGTGCGAGTAATTATTTTCTTACTTTTCATGATTTTTGGGTTTTTATAAATTTGTCGTTCGTATTTATCTATTTATTTGTTGTTGTACATTGTGATAGAAAGTTCAAAAATAATTTATTTATCTTTTCTTTCATTCTTTCATCCATTCACTTATTCATTCATATCCATTCACTCACTCATTCATTCATTTATATTCATTCATTCATCCATTCATTCATATCCATTCACTCATTCATTCATTCATTCATTCATTCATTCATTCATTCATTCATTCATTCATTCATTCATTCATTCATTCATTCACTCATTCATTTATTCATTCTTCTTTCATTCATTTTTATTCATTTATTCGTTCATTCATCTATTCGTTCTCTATTAAAACAAATAACTTTTGTAACTTACTAACTGAATACATGTTTATAGTTTGTAAAAAAAATATGTTTGTATTTTTTAAAAAATACACATGTACCAGCATAAATAGACGCGTAAGATACGTTCAATCAATCAATCAATTATGATACGTTATAGACGAATATATACAAACATACACACACATACATACACACATACACGCACACATACATACACAGATACATACATTAAGGCTTCAATCCCGGTTCTCAAGGAATCATCCGGCATTTCTGCGCATGATGGTATGCGCCCGGACGGATGCACACTAATACCTTGGAGAGCCGGCAGATGTTTGGCGTGGGATGTTACGATCCCTGGCACCCTCGCCGAACGATACGTAAACCTGACAAGTAAAGAATGCGGTTTGGCCGCGGCCAGGGCAGCGGACGAGAAAATGAAAAAATATGGGAACGCCCTCCCCTCGATGGAATTCTTGCCAATATGTATCGAGGTTCTCGGCCCGATGGACCCCAACACCCTTAAATTTTTTAAGGCAATATGTAAAATGATCAGCGTCAGATCAGGCGACAGCAGGGAACTGTTTTTCGCAACTAACCACATTTCGTGCTTGTTGCAGCGGTTCCTGCGTGTCTGTGTGCTTGAAAATATCCAACTGAATGCTGACATGTGCAATTAACGACAAATCAAAGTGTTAATCCATTTGTTACTTGATGTTTGACGGTTCAGTGTCACTCATCATGTTTTGGTTTTAACATACATACATACATACACACATACATATCTATAGAAGGCATTACATTACGTCATTACATTACGTCATTACATTACATTACATACATTACGTCAGAAAAATAAAGTATCAAATGTAATAAAAGCGTTGGTACCATCGTCGTCGTCGTCATCACCATCATAGTCACCATCTAGTCGTCATCACGTACGTACAACACAGTAAGTATGAGCGTGTTAAAAGCAATCAACTAACTTGACTAGGAACGTGTAGCAGCAGAATTTACACTCCTTAGACACTAAACAAATCCATGACCTTACAGAACGCATAATACATGCGTAAATAAAAACACATGTACCAGCATAAATAGACGCTTTATGATACGTTATAAACGAATACACACATACACAAAGGCGTGTATTTAAACAGACGAATCATAGACATTTTACACATAGGTAATCTTCTTCTCAAAAACCACATCTCAGCAGCGTTAATCTTTTTTTTTCCATTTCTTTAGAAATTGTCCAGGACTCAGAGCCGTTAGTTAGCACAGGAAAAATGTAACACCCTGACAGTTTTAATTTCGCTGATATTCTGATTTTACTGTTTGTGAGGATGTTTTTCATTTTAGAAATGCCTCTTTTGCCAGAGCTATCCTTCTTTTGATATCCATATCACATTTACAACCTGAGGTAATCAGACTTCCGATATAATTGAAGCTGTTGACTTGTTTCACCTGTCTACCATTAATGATTATGGAGCAGATCGGGGCGATTTTGCTTTTACTGATAACCATAACCGCCCCCAGATCTGCTCCATAATCATTAATGGTAAACAATGATTATGAAGCAGATCATATATCACTCAAATGTAAATATTTTTTACATATATTTTTTTATATAATTAAGAGGAATTTAAAGGCACGGTATATTACACATACACTGCATATATGAGTATGAACTGCACATGTATAAACATACACATGTATGTATATGTATATATATACACACACATAAAATATATACAGATATATATACGTATATAAATGAGATGAAAAATTTTTCTCGTCATCTTTATACACGGTGAATCTAAGTAAAAAAATTATAAATAATAATTATTATATATATATATATTTATATAATATATATATTTAATAATAATATAGTTCTAATAATATATATATATATATATATAATCAAATTAACTCTATTTATAATTATTATTATCATATCCAAATTAGGTATTTTTATTATAAGATTTAGTTGATGTTGAAATAAAATTACGCTATTTCATCATCATTACTATAATTATTTTTGATATTTTATTACTCTTAATTAATTAATTTAATTAATTTAATCATTTCATTTATTAATTTATTTAAGCTGTTAATTTGAGCCGCTTAAAACGTTAGTGACGTGTTGTCTTTTATTGTGGTGTTTTATATTATTTTTATTTAATAATTTCGAATCAAATGAATGAATGAATGAACAAACGAACGAATGAATGAACGAATGAATAGTTAACTAAATGAATGGCTTATTCATTGATTAACTATCAAAATTATTCTTGCGAAAAAAACTATTGAATGAATGTTTGAATGAAAGAATAGATGATTGAATGAACGTATAATTGATTGATTGAAAAATTAAGTAAACGAATGATTGATTAAATTGACATACTGATTGATTGACATTTTAGAAATATATTTAGACCCGTGTATGCGCGTGTGATTGACAACTTTTGACATTCAGAAAAGCTCTTCTTATCGGACGTCAGAATTGACGAATAGATAAATTTAGTTTCTTTAGTTTCATTGAAATTCAAAAAAGCGAAAAACAAAAACATCACAGAAACAAACTAACGATTTCAAAAAGATCAACGAAAATAAAATAATAATAAATAATAATAAATAATAATAATAAATAATAATAATAAATAATAAAAATAACAAAAAGCCATGAAAAACCCGTTGATTCTGAATATATGCTAATAAATAATGGTGACATCAACACATAATGACATCAACGCATTACATTACATACAAAATGACGTCACGTGACAAATGACATCACATTAGAGATGACATCCCATCGTTGTCATCTGTCTGACATTCATTACTCTACATTATGCAAACAACATTATTTATTGCGCGAGCACACACTCGTGCAAACGTTCACACGTGCGCACACACACACATACACACGCACATAATTGTAAAGACATACACTCACACATACTTATACATACACATACATACACATTTACACGTACACTCAAACACACACACAAACAAGCAAACATAACACACAAAACAAACATATCACAATAAAATACATATACATATGTATTTACAAACATAATATTTCTCTCTCTCTTTCTCTCTCTTTCTTTCTCTCTATCACACACACACACTCACACACAAACAAAAACGCACACATACAATGTAAGCCAAATGCTTTACAAACCATAAATCATCATATGTTATAACACTTACCTTAAAACAAACATTTACATATATACATTTTTCTTCTTATTATTATTTTTCTTAACAATATTTTTATTATGCTCGTTATAATTATCATTAATAATATTTTTATCATCAGCATACGTATGTACATGTACACCAATCGCTCGTTAAAAATACATCATCGTCACCATCATCATCATCATCATTACTATCATCAGCACCACCATAACCATCGTTATCATTACCACCATCATCATCGTCATCGTCATCATCAACATCCTCAACATCATTATTGTCAACATCATTAACGTCATCATCGTCGTCATCATATTAACATCATTACCATCATCAACAACACCATCAACAACATCATCATCAAAAAGATTATCACCATCCTCATCATTATCAACAACAACAACAACAACATTATCATCGTCATCAACATCATTATCGTCATCATTTTTCCTTCAATTGCATTGCGTTCAAATCTCGTTAGTATGAAAAAAAAATATGATACTTAAAATCGCATTAGTATCATCATAACGGCGTCTGATACTTCTCGTCGCAGATAAATATCATAATAATAATATTATTATTAAAATTATTATATATATATAATATATTCATAATAAAGTATAGTATGAATAACCATGGTGATAATGATGATGATGGTTTTGATATTGATATGATATCAATGATAATGATAGTATCAATGATAATGATAATGATAGCAATAATAATGATAACGACGATGACGACGACGATGATGATGGTCAACACATAAAAATATTCATAGTTGTACAACACCTTCAGTACACAAATTGTACACACATAACGACAAACCGTCCA